AGGACCATAACGTCACCTGTTTCTCTCTGAGCCTTGGACCAGTTATCAGTCATGTGTCAGGTAAAAACATGTTTTCATGGCCCACTTAATTATTGAGTGCACGCTCATGCCACATCTGAAATAAAAGCCTTAAAAGGAGGCCTTTTCCAGCTTGTATTACTACAATCTATCATCCTCTGGTGGCTGCGCTGCAGGAGAACTGCCCTAGCTTGTGTTACTGGGAGAAAGCCACTTTACAAGAACAATAAATAGCAAACACAATAGATGCACAAAGAGAGAGCCGCGCTCACATTTCTGGAAGGAGCAGAGGATTGTAGACGCTTTATGTCCATAACTATCTGTTACATTGGATCTGTTTCTCACATCACGGCGCAGTGCTGTCTTATGATGTGTGATGTGATGCATGGGGGAGAGGAGAAGTGTATTTCTGTCTCATATCTTTTACCGCAGCAAGGTCACAGAGGTAGTTGGTGTGAAAAACATATCTTAGTTTAGTCAACCAATTGAGCCCCGAGCCTGTTTTTCAGGTCTCAGGCTCGAAAAGGACATGCCCAGAACAAATGACAATATATTCACTTCTAAAAGGGGTAAATTAATAATCTTTTTTCTCAAAGCAATGAGATAACTCATGCTATCATGTGAGTTGGATGTAGAAAAGTCCGAATCAATATGGATTTTTTTTATTTTAACCCCTCCTATTGTTTTAACCCTTCTATTGTCTTCGTTCGTGTGTGTGTGTGTGTGTGTGTGTGTGTGTGTGTGTGTGTGTGTGTGTGTGTGTGTGTGTGTGTGTGTGTGTCCGGATTGTTACTAATTCCTTTTCTGGGGGAACATCATGGGTGTTACAAAGTTGACTAAATCATCCACAATTCAATGAAAGTGGTGATCAGCAATTTGATATGTTCAAAGGTCTACTGTGAAGGATATCATAAAGCCTGCAATTGAATGTAAAACAAAAAACGTATGATTGATGAAAGTTGTAAATTGGTCAGATTTGACCCGAAGACAACAGGAGGGTTAAAGGTGAACATGTAATGCCTTGTATATTTAGAATTCATACAAAAACATTTATATTGTTTTCACATGAAACCTGGAAGAATTCACAGCACATCATACTTTTCCAAACAAATGTGAACTTACTTTGACTTGCAGTTTTTTTGTTGCTCCAATCAAGTCATTTGCTTTGAATTAGGCACTCTATTTGGGATAACTCGCCCTTTACTTTTAATCTGATAAATAAATGTTCTATGTTCATGGAAAACTATAGATTTTCCCATGTCTTATCATTCCTTGGATGACTGGAGCATCGAGAGAAAGTCCTCATTTAACTTCCTCTGTGAAGGATGTGAACTCTCACCCCAGAGTCCCCTTCATAGACCACCAGGGCCTTTGCATCCTTTGAATGTCTACAGTGGTTCCTGCAATTAATTTACAAATTAAAACGACTTCCTTTTGATTGCATTTTGGTGGCCTGTAATAATACTGTATCCCATTGTTATAATATGCACCCTAATTACTGGTTGAATCTGATAAGGATATGTTCTTTGCAGATGCTTCACAGACTCACAGCTGGACGGCTCCAGTTTCCTGCCCAGAGACCTCCTGCAGATTCAACTCGAACCTTTCCTCTCCAGCAGCACCGCAGACAGCTGTCAGCGCTGCTTTCACATGTTTGTTTAATACCTACAGTGTAAAGAAAAATGCCTATGCGTGTGTCATATTGTTGTCTTTGGAAATATACAACATGTTACTTGGAAGCAGAGCCCACTTTAAACAAGGATCCAGTTAGAAAGGCTTCGTTTCACGAGCAGGAGGTCCGTTTTGCTCACTGTTGCATCCATCTTTATTGTGTCGACCATTAAAAAATAAATGCTGAACTTATTAACATATAAAGGATATACTCACATATATTTCCTAGCGTCAGGTGGAGGTCAGTGGATGGTGATGAGGTCTGAAGGATTAAAGAGACTGGATGCAAAATCCAACCACAAGAGGGCCCTGAGGAGCAGAACAAAGCACAGGCACACTGGTAATGCTTTGAATACTTGTACTACTCAAACTGTATTGAATAAACCTTTATTGTCCATTTTGGGTCTTATTATGTTTCTCCTCTGAACCAAACATAAATATGTGTATTGAACTGATTTAATACAAATATTTAAGTGCATGTGATCTTTTATGTGTTAATGTGCAAACCAGTGAGGGGCACAATTTAAACCTCTTTTACAATACATAATAATACACTATGTTTACAAAGCATTATCAAAGAAAGTGCTTCTCGTGGTTTCAGCCATGTTTAAAACGGTTCAAGATGAGGCAATCAAATAATAGAAAATAAAAAATAGTTTTATATAGTGTTGCTGGAGCTTTTATCTTCTTGTTATTTGCAGACCCGATGATGCCTGTCAATGTGCTATCGTCATTTATTTTTAATATAGTGTTGTAATGAAACACAGCTGAATACTGGAGTATTTGCCCGATTAGATCTTCCATATAATAATTGAATAAAGTGTTTCCAGGTGTAATGATAACAGTCTCGGAATAACATTTTCTACGCTTTTATTTTGCATTTGCTTGTTAATTTAAACTGCTTTGCTTCTCTTTGATGCTTTTACCAGTATGTCTATGCCATTACATATCCAATATTTAAGACCATACTACTTGTGTTGTCGTTGGTAGCTCTCATGTTACCATTATCTATTGGAAAAATATTTGTTCATTCTATTAAAGAAACTGCAGTTGCTCCATTTGTTTCTGAGACAACTGAAAAACAACAAAAGGAACTGGGAACATTTTTGCAATCAGAGGACTTAAGCGGCTTAGATGTGTGTGCTATTACTGAATGTGTAAAGGTGGAACAAACAGGTGGTTGTTCTTGGCTAACATAGAAGAAGCTCAGACCTTCAGGCAACCAGGATGCTCCACCACGATAAATGCGTGACCCGATAAATGCTTCTTGGAATTTCTGGACTTGTAGCTTCTTCACACTGATCTTTTCTCCTGAACTCTGATCCTCAAACGCAACAGGTTAATTTGCAGTTTATTGCAGAACAACAGTCTCCATCCAGCACTTGCCAACTCTCGTGTCAAAGACGAAATGGGGGAAGCTTGGAAAAACAAAAACATTGCATTTGGTTCATGGCAACAGGAATCATTTTCCAATCAGCTTTTTTTGCCAACCATGTTTTAGAGCCAAAGCCTGAGATGTATCTTGTTGCGTTGAAACAAAATCATCATAGTTACCACCGCGAAAATGCTACGTGCAGATATTTGAAGAAGATTGGCATTTCTGTGTGTTTTTATTGCTAAATGTCAGAGTTGATAACCTGGATAAAAGTCTAAAAGAGAAGCCTGTTGCAAACGTCTGTCCATTATTTTCTCCCTCTCCATGCGTCTGCATACATCGGAGAATGTCAGAGGGGAGGCAACATGATCTGCATAGATGACGGGGGGCGACCCCTGAAATGGACAGGATATTTGAGATAGATCTCCATGTTAATAGAAGATCTTCTTACAGCCTCTGAACCTTGATATCCAGAAGTAAAACACACTGTGAATTGTACTAATTTATTTACACTATTAACCTCTGACATGGATGGCATGCTTTTGGTTCGGTTGGTTGGACTACCCTAACCCTAACCGTGTTTTTTTAGCAGGTCTGATTTTCATTAACCGAGGTGAAAGGGTGTAGCCTGGGCCGAGGCATAACTCATTCATCTTTGGAGTAGATCCGAAACGCGGGGTGAATACACGACTTATTTTTCACTTATGGAAACAGACTTGGTCTTTTATCCACTATCATGCAATCACATATTGTATTATCCTTTTACCCATAATTTAGCTTTATTTGTAGAAGGTTTTTTCAAATGTTTAAACAGTGTCATCAGCATACATTCAATTATTACTGTAACATATATATAGGGAGTAAATTGTAGGGGGCCAAACACTGTTCTTTGTGGAACACCAGTTGAACATTTGGGCCGATCCTTTATGTTCTTCAAAATAAATGTACTGTCAAACAGATTTTTCCAAACACAGGTTTCAATAACATTCTTTCTTAAGCCTTTTTAAAATCCACATTTGTATCTATGTCGTTGTTTTTCAGAGGGTAGATCACTTTGCACTTGTCTGCCTTATTTTACTTTACATGTTTCCCTCACAGAAGGCAATTGACTTAGTAATAGTTATATTTCAGATCATAAGATAGCACATAATCACATTTGAGCTACCAAAACAAGCATTTAAGGTTTTTTTCCTCTGTAAATGTTAAATAAAACTACAGTGTGTGCAATAAACAGCTTTTCAATGTTTTGCCTGTGAACATTTGTATCTGATTATTAAACCATAAAGCACAATGCCATTATTGTTGCACTTTAACAGATAATCCATCAACTCGACACCTATGTATTGGGAAATCTGCTCTTATTCGGTCACGGTGGTTTAATGTTGACTTTTATAATTACACCTCCATGGTATTTTGTGTATTATGATATGACTGTTAGCACACTCTTAGCTGCAGGGTGCAAAGTTTGGCAGCGCAAGGCACCTGTCAAGGACCACCTGAAGTGTTGTATTAAGATGTCAAACATTTTCATCCTTTTTAGTGATGATTTCTGTTATCAATTTGCGTATTTTGGAATGTTCCCATCAATGGTACCAATGTATTCCACCTCCATCCTCTCTGAAATCTCTTGTGCCCTTGTGTTTACGTGACCAAAGTGCAATATCTGATGCAAAAACGTGCTATTTCACCCCTCAATTTACTTTATTGCTCTTGTCCTGCGTCCAAGGATAGCATTTCTTAACTGCACTGTAACTATTCGACACACACACACTCACACACACAAAGCACACCTGGGGAAACATTCCTCGGGGGAAGTCATCAATCAGTTTTATGGCTTTCTCTGGGAAAGTTTCCTCCTCTCCAATCAAGCGTCTTCCCTCCCTCCACCCTCCGCCTCGATTCTCTTTCTTATATTTCCATCTGTATCAGTTTTGGTCCACATCTGAGAACGATCCTCTCCAGCCAATTAACTTCAACCGTTTTTCTTAGTCCACCGAGGGATAATCGGAGCAAACTGCAGAGTGAGGTCTTTGCCTGGACGATATACAAGATAAGACTATTACAACTGGATTTCCTCTGTGTACTCAATTTGCCCGCCAGTGGGAATAAATGTAAATTTAGAGGATCTCCAGAAGGTAAATAAAAGAAGTTCACAACAAGTCTTTAAATGTTGAACAAAGTCTTACAATTCTAGTTTTATTTCAAAGAGCAATAACTGCCTTTAAAGTAGCAAAATCCACTTGTCTCTAAATCAGAGCAACCTGTTTGAGGAACTGTTTCCGCTCAAGTGTGTTGAAACAACAAATACAGATAAATGATAGAATTGTTTATTTTCAAATGAACTACTAAGGTTGCCATCAATGGATTTGAATGTGGAAGGAGTATTTTTTGGTAGTTAAAGACCCTGAAAACCAATTAACTTCTCATCATGTATAACAGGATCCTACAAGAACATAACATTTTCAGCCAAAGATTTATTTTCTTAATTGAGAGCTCTTGATTTAGTAAAATATATTTCTGTCTGAACTCTTCTAGCTAATTTTAGATGCATCAGTGCCTTTAAGGTCATTGGAATTGTATTACATTTCAGATAAAGCTGCGTTTCTCCAAACATTAAATTATTTATATTAGTTAAATATTGTATATACTTCAAGCAAAAGCAGCTATTAAACAGACTGCAATACTAGTACTGTGAAAATGTATGGAAGTATTTAAAGAAAAAGTAGTCTTCATGCAAAAATAATTTACTTCAGATTGATACATGATTATTGTTTTATTATGTTGACTATTATTGTTATTTATATGTTTTAATCATTAGAGCAAAAGTAGAAAATGTTGGCTGAGGATAATTTAGCCTGTTGCGATATTCAACATGGAGTGGTCAAAGTGACATTGTCAATACAAAATAACCTGGCAAAGAAATTAAAATGGTTAATAGTCAACAATGGCCTGTAATCGTTTTTCTTATTTTTCTCTTTTATTTTAATATTATTTTTTGTAAGCCATAAAATCACAATAGAGTAACTTTTTAGCCTAGACTCAGTTTGAAAAAAAACCCTCCTTGTTTGAGTTTGATACATTTTGCCATGTTTGGCAGAGGTGCTCTGCAGTATGTGACTCCTCTGGAGGTGGGAGCACTTGGCTCACTTCAGTTATACTTTCAGCTACTATAAGAAGAGACGCACCTCCCAGCTGATCCCGTTCATTTATCTTCCTCCTCCCTCCCCCTCCTCCTCCTCCCCCACTGCCCGGTGTGTTGCCCCCTCTCTCTCTTGGTAGTTTCTGTCTTCAGCTCTTCTCCGCAGACGCGCTGGAGCTGGATGTTCGGACACTTGCTGCTGCGCTTCTCTAAATGATCCGGAGAAGTGAGGAGAAGGAGAATCACTGCGACGCACATGGTAAGCTCATTTAGTCCTTCCTCTTTCGACAAAAGTGTAATTGCTTTTGCAGTTTTGGGTACTTCAGGGGTTTGTAAAGTTTGATCTGACGTTAAAGTCGCGCGTAATGAGTCGTTTGTAAAATGTGACCTTCCGTTTTTTGACACCGAGGTAAAATACAAGGCATGAATAACAGAAATCTATTTGCAAAACCTTAATATATTTACATTTATCAGCATACAAATGTATCATTTGTATTTGTAGTCTGACGTATCAATACTTTTCAAAAGGGACCAAGCAGCCTGATGTTTGTTTTCTTAAATGAACAAAGAAATTCAGCCGATATGCATCTGTCTTTTTTTATTCTGCGTTATTGTGTGTTATAAAAAAACCACAATTATTTGGTTGTTTACATTTATACTACTTTAATAGCCTCTTCAAGCGCTAAGCCATAGTAGAAAAAGAGGATATTGATACGTTTCCTGTACTTATATTTTATGCATTGTAATAGTACATTTAAAGATGATCCTTTACTTTAAAAATAAGGACTGAATTTCCTTTGAACTCCTTTATTTTAATAACTTTCCTGTACACGTTGTTAATTCACGTGGCCTTAGCACAATAAATCAATTTTAAAAAGCAATTATCAACCAAATAGTTTGACGTTTTTTTACTGTTGCGAAATGAATAAAGAAAGTCACGTGAAAAACATAAAAGAATAATAGTATTGTTATTTTAAACAAGTTAGACTTTATCTTTGCAAATAAAGCCCTAACACCAAACAAATACAAGCCTATCAAGATGTAAAAAATAACATCTGCTAGAAGCTTTCAGATCAAACGATAGCGTAACTCTTAAATATTAGTGTTCCTCTCTGCGAGATAAAGCTAAATTGACTGCAGCCAATTTGTGGCTAACAAGTGCAATTAGCTGCAGAATGAAAGCAATTACACTGCGGGCTGCACTGTTAGCTCTTGCCAAAGTCATCAGCCTAAATATGATAAACATTCATGTCTAATGAACCGCAAGTGAATAATTATTCTCAGGTCTAATAAATGAAACGCCCGCAAAGTGCGTGTGACTGCGGGCTGTTTTTCTTCTGAGGTCCGGCTGTAGTTGATTAACTTTCCTAAAATCCCTCTGCATCACTTGTATCAAGAGGAATATATTTGCTTTAATAGACCCCGTTCTCCTTTTTTAATCTCTTTTTTTTTCTCAGGCGTTTCTAATGCAGTTTTATAGTTGGGCCTGGGTGGTTATAATTTAACATTTAATTCAAAGCAGGCATTTCCTTTTTCTAATGTTTCAATGATAAATTAGCCAACAAAAATCATGGGTGATTTTTATTTGTTTTTGTGCTCATAAAGGGGGCAGCCCTGGAGTATTTTGGTTTTTCCTTTTTTCTCTTTATTAACCCCCTGTATGACATTTTGTAGATTTAATTGCCACACAATTACAGCCAGGGGCCTTACTTTTATTTCTATCATGCCCGGGGTTGTCTTTGGCGTGACTGCAACATGAAATCACAGTGATTTCATTTCCATCTGTTTTTCAATATCAACATGTGAAGCTGGATCTGCCGGAGAGCGTCTTGCCAACTTGTATGAGGCCGTAAAGGGGAGGGGGAGGATTGACAGGAAACTTTTAAATATCAAGTGGGTAACATGTGTTTTTTTATTCAAAAATAAAGTGAGCAGTGGCTTATGGGTCGATGAAGAGGTAGAGACACCCTGTATGTGTGTGTGGAGTTGGCTCCTGGGGGCCTCACACATCCACTGGGTGTTTCGTTGGAGGTGCAAACGTGAAGGACAGAGGCCTTTAGCTAAAGATACAAGCAGTGATAATCCATTTTGTGCTGTCTGTCGCTTTCACCTCCTGGGCTGCCCCACTAAAATTAGATTATTACACCTAAAACAGAACTCGTGGAATCCGCTCTGTGTGGAATAACACACAGATGGGCTTCAACTGTGCAGGCAGGAATGCAGTTGGAGAATACAGACCGCATACGTAGCCTTTCTCTTCTCACCCCGAAAGCCCAGTGTTGTATTTCTGACCGGCTGAGGACAATTGCAAATTAACAAAGGTGTCAGTTTGGTAACATGCCCCGACAGGTGCCTCGGTTCAGCTTCAAACATGTAGGCTATAAGAGAGAGGGCTTATATAATTGATCATATTTATTTAAAGGATGTGTGTCTTAGAGCAGAGATCCAATGAAGAACCCTGGCTAATCTTCCTGGTGACTCCATCAGTCAGATGAAACTGTCTCTGTGTTTATTTGTGGAAACGACAATTAGGCGTTTGAAACTCACCACAAAGCAGGAAAGCGATTTGAATCGAACATATTTGCCTCCGTCCTGCTGGCCAGTGCTGCTTGCCCATGACGAGGAATGTTAAATTGTGTGAGACAGGCCAAATGCAGCTCATCTGCGCACCAGAGCAGCTCCAGACCCAGACAGGCCCACAGCTCCAAAGTGTGAACAGACCAAAGAGTTAACAGGTAGCACAAGAGAATACCACACACACAACAGGTTTCCTCGCTTTATTTTCAAAATGTAGCTAAATCCCAAAAGATGAAAAGGATTGAGAAAGTGAAAATGTATTCCAAACACAGAAAAAAAGTCTATATTTTCTCTTTTCTGATGTTCCAATTAGAAAAAGACTTATCCCATAACAACAGCAATTATCAATTAACCCTAAGTTGAAGGCCATAGGGTAACACAGACACACACAGCCAAATACAAATCTTTCTCCAAGTTCCGTTCATTCTTATCTCCACCCAGGACTTTAGAGAACGTTTTCTGTTGGTTTGTTTGTTGGCAAAAAGATAAGGGAAAAACTACTGGCCAGATTTTTTTCATGAAACTTTGTGGAAGGTTGTAGCATCGGTCAAGAAAGAAGCCATAAAATGTTGAAGCGGGGTGGATACACGCTCCATTTTTCTCCGAAGGAAACGGCCTTGGTGGAAGTATATGCTCTCCGATTGCCCTTCTAGTTCTCATGGGAATCAAATTTCCATCCAACAACCCCACCATAAAAATATAGTACAAGTAGTATAGTATCGACTCCAACAAGTATTTTATATCTGCAATTAATCTAGATCACTTTGCTACGGGATGGTGTCACTTTGATATCCACACAAAAATCTTTGTCAAAAAAGCTCCATAAAATCACATTTGATCCAAGCTGTAATTCAATAAATCATGTCAACTTCCAATAGGTTGAATATTTATGGCCACTTTATATGCATACATATATTTTGATTTCAGCCTTTACCAATCCATAAAATATGAGTTTCTCCTCCTGACATTTATCTCAGCTTCATAAAGAATAGAAATAGAGTGGTATTAGGAAATGGGGACTGGAGAGCACGAACATGAGCACCGCTCTCTCAGCTCTCCTCTGTTCGACTATGCTGTAAACATGCCCTCAGGTTGTCAGCAAGTATTTTTCCAGCCCTTTGCCAGCCAAGCATAGCTGCTTCTAAAGATCACCCGCCGGAGATGTTGATCTCATCTTACCACTATTTTGGCTGTTTAAGCTTTTTTTAAAACATAGAGATTGCTGCCAAGTCACTTCAAAACGTAATGTTATTTTCAAATGGAAGCATGTATGTTTTGTAAATTAGACCTCAATTTGAGTTCTTGAGAAAAGAAAAAGGGGTTGATGGCCTCTTTCAAACACGTGCTAATTGTAGTCAATATGCGAAAGAATAGGTGGGAAATATCAAACAGCTCTTTGCAAGTAATAAAGCAGGTCTTCAACATGTTCTTCCGACACCCTGGCCGTGTGAATTTATTGAAAGCGGCAGAGAAAAAAACGTTGAAACCATATCCGGTGGGTTACAGTGCGGTTCCAGACAGATGATCTAGTTACGGCAGAAGAGAAAGTCCTAGCCTGCAGGGGCGCATTAAAAACCTCAGGGGCCTCTCTGGGATGAGCATCCATTTATCAAAGTGGTTGTAATGGGCCTATGTTTAATTAGTCATGTAATGTGGCAAAGACAAGAGCAAGTGCATGTCATGGGAATGTTAAACAACCACCCCCTTTCTACACGTCCAAACCCTGAACCCCGCCTACGCCCTGTCATCATTCCTCATCCAGAGCGAATCCTTCCACCACGTCCCAGAATCCTCTCATAACCTATACCCTGCTCATAATCTTTGACACTGTCTTGTCTTAGTATACAGCCAGAGCATTGACACTGAGTGAAACCAGAGACCTAATTAATCATCAGATCAACTGATCCCTAAGTCCTGCTTTTTATCAGTGCATTCAGGTTCCCATGGGGCATGTCTTGACACGCCAGGAATGACCGGCCGAGGCATTTCGGACCCCAGGAATGTGGCTCGTTGGCACCAAGGTCACAGTCAGACAGCTCATCACGGCGCTCGTAGCTTGTAGCGTTTCCTGTAGCAACACCACAAAAAAGGGTCGCCCGATATGCCTGATCTTGGCTTTTGTCCTCACTGGGTTTGGCAGATCGACTTTCTAGCAAGCCTTTGCTTCGGGAGGTCAGGAGCGGAGGAGTTTGTCCAAAGCAGCTGAGGGAGTGCCACGGCCTCCTCGCAGGCCCCTCAGAGCTGTGTGGTCCCTGAGGGAAGCCTCATATTTCGGTCGTTGGCTAATTGAGCGGGATGACGAGGCCGGAGAGGCTCTCAGCCCCGTCCTCTCCTATGGGTTTGGTTTATGCAGCCCTGCTGACTTTGCTGTCAGTGTCAAACGCTTGTTAGGACATCATCAATCTCACAGCAGTTAAGAATATTCCCAGAGCAGAATGAAGGAGCCAGGTGATAAACTGACAGGAAGACGTAAGAGCAGAAGTCAAATAGTTTGGAACCCTAACCCTAACCCTAACCCTAGTTATCGATGAGAAAATTACAGTCCTCTCAAGAGAGAAAATAAACAAGGGTTATCAAATGAGTAAAAAGCAGCAGGTGTTGAACTGTCTTTGCAAGAAACAAATAGAAGAAGCCCTTGTTGAGAATGTGCCTCAGGGCTTCATGTGAGCGGTAAAAACAATGAATCACTTGTTCCAGAGAAAGCGAATGCATTGTTCGTTTTGTCATGCCAAAATTAACGCTCTAGGGTATCAAATCTTGACAGAGCAATAAATTACACTCATCACCAGTTGTAAGAGACGGGAAGGGATTTGTTCTACGATTGGACGTATACAAGTCCGTGTTTGTCTTAACCACGGAAGTATCCATGTAGGGACTTAAGCCGAACACACATTTCAAATCTATAAATCATTTCTTACCATCCTCAGGACTAATCTCCAGCTCCTCTTCTTCCCTCTTTTCTACCCTTCACACAGCTCATGCTCAGGCCCCTTGCTCGCCTGCAGCACTGACCGACGGTAAAATGATTTGAAAAGGAGAGCCATAAACGTGATGGATGTGGTCCAGCTCAGGGTTTAGCCCCAGCTGTCGGGCATGTTTTTTGTCATTTCAGACAGACCCGCTGGGTGTGCGTCCTTCTTCAACCACTCTTCTCCGGGGTTGAGGGGAGTTTAAAGACAAATATGTTCTTAAAAGTTGTCATGGTCACGGGTTCAAACCAGTGGCCCACACTACTGTGAAGATGAGAGATTACATTTTTATGGGATGAGGTCTTTACTGGCATCTACCAAAAGCCTATAAGGTGCGGTTGAAGTGGTGCAGTGAGCTGGTATCGTGTGTTTTCAATAAAGGCACAGGTGGTCTATCTTAAATTTCCCTCTTTGGATTTAAAGCAATTTATATAAATCAATCAGTGTGCATTTTTTTCTTTTATGATCTAGCTCCCATGGGTTCCTCCTAAAATATTTTTTTTTCAAATCTTCCACAGGCTCGATGACATGATGTTCCTGTCCTTTTCCCCTCCCCCTTCCACTTCCACTCCTTTCTTCCCTGTTTTCCTTCTGCTCCTTCTTTTCCTTCCTTCGTCCCTCGTCTCCTCTTCCCTTTCCCACACCCCGTTGAGCTGGACCTCGCCTCATGACCCCTGCTACTACCTTGACGGTCGACCGCGGCACTGCCTGTCTGAGTTCATCAACGCCGCCTATGGAATCCCCGCCGATGCTAGCCACTCGCTACAAGCACATGACCATGACAGCAACATCTCCAGCTTAACGGACCTCCACAACCCCCACAACCTCACCTGCTGGATGGCTCACGGAGGACCTGACACCGGAGAATGGGCCATCACGCTACCTCTGGGCCGCCGCTTTGAGATTACCTACATAAGTTTGCAGTTTTGCCAACACGGGGAGCCATCGGACCCAATCTCTATCTCGATCCTGAAGTCCATGGACCACGGGCGCTCCTGGAGGCCGATGCAGCACTACTCCAACGACTGCCTTGGGAACTTTGGGTTGCCCTCCCAGACAGTGGCCCAGACGAGGCAGCAAGAGACGGAGCCCCTCTGCTCAGACCCTCGTCCTTTACAAAAGCAGAGGGGTGGCATGGTGTTAGCCTTCTCCACCCTGGACGGACGGCCATCTTCTTCTGACTTTGACTACAGCCACACCCTCCAGGACTGGGTGACGGCCACAGACATCCGAGTGGTCTTCCACCAGGTGTCCAAAGCACCCAAGATAGTCAACTCTGATAAGAAAGGGGAAGTGAGATGGCGGGATAGTGTAGAAGATGAAAGAGGGACTGGGCTTCTGAGGTGGAGACCGGGCTACAAGGGGCGCACTGGAGATCAGGTGGACAAGTTAAGCACAGACAATACACTGGGAATTTTCGACAGAGATATAAGGGGGAGGAACAAAGAGGAGAAAGTGGACAAACACCCAAGGAGGGGTCATTATAAAGAATCAGGGCAAGACGAAGATGGACACAATGTGACCAGCAAAGAAGGTGAGGACAGTTTCAGCACGGACACGCTCACTTCTTCAAAGAAAGGCGGGAAAGCCAGAGGGCGTGGCCGCAAGAAGGAAAACAATCCTTGGCTACCTTGCCCCAATGGAGGTTGTACTTGGACAGTTGAGGGGCGGAGCAGGAACAACAGGGGGAGGGAACTGAGGAAGAGGAGGAACAATAACCTCAACGCAAAACAAAGCTCCAGGAATCTGCAGTTGGCCCCACCCTCTGCTCTCCGGCCTACTCTGGCGCTTTCGGACCTGCAAGTTGGCGGCAGGTGTAAATGCAACGGACACGCTTCCAAGTGTCGCCGTGACGACACCGGAAAGGCAGTGTGTGTGTGCGAGCATCACACAGCAGGACCCGACTGTGATGTGTGTGAGGATTTCTACTGCGACCGACCGTGGCATCGAGCTACACCCACGCACCCAAACCCCTGCGTTGGTGAGTCCTGCACCCTGTTGCTAAACTATGAAAAATTCTGACAAATAAACATCTGAAACATAACCAAGGCTACAAGAAAAACAACCAAAAAGCATAGGGTAGTATAAATATGATAATGTAAGTGTGACATGTAGGTTATACTTCTTATTTTTTTCCTTTTCCCAAATACTTAAAAGGTAGAACAATAAAATATCCAGAAACATATTGAAAAAAACAGATCTCATATTTCCCATAATTCAACTGGATAGTGTCTTCAGGTGGACCCTCACTTGGAGTTAAACACTCATGTCGGTCAATCTCAACTCTGACAATTTGTAACGCAAGCTTTCAGTTTTATATGAGCCCTCTCTAAATTCAAGGTTAGATGACATCATTGGGGTTATAGTACTCCTCATGACAAATATGATTGAATTCTGATTATGTATGCTTGCATTTTCTTTCTGTTTTAAAACCCTTGAACTTAAAAGTTATCACTCCAAACAGTGGATGTGATACCTTGTGATTTCCTTCCTTTTCCAGCCTGTGAGTGTAACGGCCACTCAACCAAGTGCCGCTTCAGCATGGAGGTGTTTCAGCAGTCGGGCCGGCACAGTGGAGGTGTGTGTCAGAAGTGTCGGCACCACACGGCCGGACGACACTGCCAATACTGCCAGAACGGATACACCCGCGACCAGAGCGTACCAATGAACCACCGCAAGGCCTGCCAACGTAAGTCACCAAGTGTGTGTGAGTGTGTGTTTACTGGCTAAATGGGAAGAAGGGAGTGTATTCTTGTTTGAGCATCTGTGCACATCCATGGGGTGAATAAATTAAATTACTAACTGCATTCCTGGTAGATGCAAAGCAAATCGCAGTGTGAGCGACAGTGTTTATGTCCGACTGTCTGAATGCATGTAGCTGTGTGTGTGTGTGTGTGTGTGTGTGTGTGTGTGTGTGTGTGTGTGTGTGTGTGTGTGTTTACATGCACACTGTCTGTGTCCGAGTGTACAGAAGTGTTTATGGGGTGGTTACATTGTGAGAGCCTGCAGCTATTCCTGGGGATGTACGAAAAAAACACACAAACCCCGCTGAGCTGCCACCTGTATCCCCATCGTTACCACTGGTTGGCATCTGCTGTGAACCCTGACCTTTGACTGGTCACATGTCCTAAGTGACTGTGACACTCTGGCATGCTGCATTGACCACAAGCCCAATATATCCAAAGTTAATGGGCTCTCTTTGAGCTTGACACACGAACAGGGACGAAGAAAAATATGAGCTATGATTGAATATCAACATATTCTAGCACTTTGTATGCATGAAACAATAGCAAATTCATATCCTCCCACTCACAGGCTTACATCTCAGCTTTAATTTATCGAAGATATGTTTCACCGAGTTACCCTTCAGGGGCCTATTACTCATTTTCCCCAGTCAGGTTGTTTGGACTCATTGTAAGGATTTGTGTAAATATTACCAGAGCGTGAACAGATCTGCTGAAGTGTGGCTTCCTCTCTCTCATCTGTCTTGTCTCATAGGGCCTTATCCCATGATAGTGGTGGTAAATAAAAAGCTTTGCAATGTGAACCACGGCAAATCGAGGCAGAAATCATTATACAGCATCACATAAGCCAACATTAGGAGACACAAATATGACAAAATATTAAGACAAAGGACATTGGTATTCATCTATATGCTAAAATAACCAGGGCTAATAATTGAATTAATTCTAGAACCCCTATTTTTATTTCTCTGACAAATGAAGACAAATAAGCGTAACCAAACAAATCATGCCGTTGTGTGACATCCATGATGAAAGCTCTATGGAGAAGGAATTAGCATGTGTTTACCCAACAAGAAAGCTACAAAATGGCTTTATGGTGTTAGTTAAGGTCTTTGCTCAAGGACATTCCCTTAGGACAGATGCTGTCAAGCAGGATTAAACTCGGGTCCTGTCACTGATGGATGGTCTTCTTAATCCTGTTTACTGTCCTTTGTGCAACAGTCACAGATGTGTTAGCTTAATATATCTTTAACTTGCTTCCTTGTTGTTGCAACCTGATGCACAATGCTCTACAATGCCAGGGCAACCTAACCAAAAAGCTTGCTTATATCCTTGCCTACTTCAAAAGTCTACAAATGAAACATATTCGCAAGTGGAAACTCCCCAGTGCAATTTCATTCCTTTACGATTAGCCTCTGAAAGCCTTTACTTGGTGTCTGAAGCAACCACAAAATTACTTCTAAAAATCTGCACTAAACAATATTCAAAAATGTGAAAAATGGCTCGAATCACAAGGCAAAATGTGAGAGGCATTCCTCGTAACGAGTCAAGAAATGCTTATATTGCTGCATGTCTGTTAATGCTTGATAAAACTTATTTTTGATAACATGTCACCTCCATTTTTAGTATGTTTTGCTGTGCCAAAGTGGCCAAAAAAAACCTAACAATTGGTGTTGTATCCACCTTCAGAATACTCTTTTACTTTACTTCCTATTTTTGTAATTCTCTAATCACCTTGTTCTGCCTTTCAGCATGTGAGTGCCATCCTTTGGGAGCAGTGGGTCGATGGTGTAACCAGACATCAGGTCAATGTCTGTGTCGAGAAGGGGTGACCGGCCCCCGGTGTAACCGCTGTGCTCCGGGATACAAACAGGGCAAGTCCCCTCTGCGGCCCTGCATACGTAAGTCACCTGTCAGTAATAATACAGTATATGACAATCATATGGTTGTTGTCTCTGTAAAGCACCAAAAGCTTTTGGAGAAGAGGGCCCCCGAATTCTCAACAGCAATCATATCGTCATAGGAATACCGAGTACTTTTATTATATATGGATTTTGAGTTAACTTCTCTACAAACAATGCTGTCTCTGCCATTGATGCATGCCACCCTGCTCAAATGAATCACAGACTTTTAATAGCTTGATGTCACTCATAATTAAGTGACCTCTTTAATTTCTCCTTCAAACTCATTTGCTTGTGGCCTAAATGGATTAAACCTCCTATCAAGCTCTCTAAACCTTTATCGAGTGGTAGCTCAATATAAAAGGGGCCGCTGCTGTCCAGACTAATTTGGCCCAATCCCCCAGCATGTCCCCTTGTCATCATCCCTAGAGACGGTCTCTATAGCAGCGTTAAATTGAGCTGACCGCTACAGGGAAACCTCATCTCCAGCTGATGTGGGATCAGCGTCAGATCAAGTGGATTGTTTCATATCTCTGTGCCTGGCTAGCACCGAACTTCAGCCATGAGCGCTAATCCACGTGTACTTCCCTGGCTAATCGCGCGAGTGCCGACAACTACACAGGCACTGCGGTGTGTAAGCCCCAATCAGGTGACATAGGAAGCCAGCAGGGCGAGCTTCCCACCTGTTGTGCAGCTCAAAAAGCCCCCCATCACAGGGCCCAGACTCATAACTCTCCCAGTGAAAGGAGTGTGTGAAAGAAAACCTTGTTTGTTTTTACTGCCAGACCATCTCAGGCTATGTATAGCATCCCTTACCCCCTTCTACCACCTCTAACACCCTGCCTCTCATCAGACAGACCAAAAGGCACGCAATCAGCAGGCCAAACTGTAAAGTTAGCCCCCGCTGAACCAAGTCTGCACATTGTGGCAGCATGGACATTATTGCGATATGACCAATGTTGGCAAATTAACTTTTTTGCTGCTTGGTACAAGAGAAATGCTTGCTTTCCATGAGAGCATTTCATTTGCCGTACTATGTGGGTCTGAATAGGCTGCAGTCAATATCATTGATATCACTTCAACCAATAAGTACAAATGAATTGATCACAACATCTGTTATTGTATTTTTTTCCCCAAGTTGCAATATGAATAAATATCACAATGTCAGATTTTCCAATATGGCAAAGCCCAACACTGAACCTGTCATAAGGGGCAAGTAAGGCAATGCAGTATAAAGGGAAGGAGGCATGTTTAAGCTTCAATAAACTAAAGCTGTTACCAACAAAAACACAAAATCTTAAAGAGCAGGCCAGGTAAAACAAATGGAAAGTAGTAGCAAACAAAAGTGAGGAGCAAACCAGGATGACACAACAAAACACAAAGAGCTAAATCCAAAGCTAGGAGATCACACACAGGTGGAAAGAATCAGGGTGGGGCTGCTAAAACAAGAAATTACATTTAAAACTAAAACAGGAAACCTTTAACACAAAAACCAAGATCATGACAGAACATCTTTATCCATACATAAAGGTGGGGTGTGTAATTTTGGAGAAACCAGCTCGAGTGCGCTAGAACTACGCAACCAGAAAAAATCTGCCACTTCCTTACAGAGCCACTCCTCCAACACACACAAACGCGCACATGATCAATGAGGGCACGAGATAAGTTTGTGCACAGATGGAGCTGGATGGCCATCCAGTTATTTTAGCTGGGCCAGCTAAAATGATTGGTCGTTCTTTTTACAGTACTACGGCTTCCATAGATTTTTGTTATGTATTTATTGTCAAAGCAGATATTCATTGCTATCGGGATGTTAAGAGCATTCCATGGAATATAACAAAAAGTGTTTCTGAAATAAATTACATACCCCACCTTTTAAGAAGCTTACAGAATAATATATATGATCAAGATGAAGAAAAAAGAAAGGCAAACTAGCCAGCTAAGGAG